CTCCAGCATTGGCAGTTCCTACTATCTCGGCATCTGAAGAAGTTCTCAATTTGGAATTCTGAAGAAGCATCGATGGACCCGAAACGTTAACTCTGCTTTCTCTCTGCAGATGCTCCATAGCCAGACCTGCTGAGATTTTCCAGCAATTTCTGTTTTTGTTTCTGATTTCCAGCATCTGCAGTTCTTTTTTTGTAAACCATTGGAATCGTGTGATACTTGCATACGTACAGAAAAATGCACATTGTAGTCAAGCTATTGAAAATGCACAAAGTGATTTAGCTCTATGCGCCAGCCTCATACTCACTTGGACACTGCAGCTGCCAAGATTCCAATGCTAGTCTCCTTTGGTGGCATTGAGGAATGGCCAGTGTCCACACTCACATTCAAATTAACGGTAGCAAATCCCTTTTCAGAGGTAGCTATACTGGAGAGAATGAGACAGGTGATATTTTTAAAATTTAGATTTCAGTTCATTCCACCCACGTAAAACCAAAAGCAAGGAAAAAAAAGTGTGTTATTGGCAACAATGATTTGCATTTGTCTAGTGCCTTTGACTCAGTAAAACCTCTCAAGGCACTTCACAGGAGCATTATTAAACTAAAACGTGACACTGAGTCACATGGAATGATATTAGGAAGTGACCACAAGTTTTGTCATTGAGGTAGGCTTTAAGGAACATCTTAAAAAGATGAATAATTTTCAGTAAGGTGACGTATTTTTGCTCTGAAATGCAAACCACAACATCAGGAGCTATGGCTTACTGAAACATCTGAAACTCAGGTTGCTTTGTAGCTGCTATAGCATCAGGTCAGAAGTCAAACTGAGGGATTTAGATTTAAACAACGGAACAACTTTCCCATTTTGCCTCAATGGTCATACACTCAGAATGTACCTGAGCACATGACAGTTGACTAAATGTTTATGGCATCTCTGAACTAAAATAGCAATTACAACAGCTGACTTGTGGGGTGGAGCATGTTTGTAACTACCCTGGGTAACAACAACAGGCAGACAGTTTGTTTTCAGTCTCATTGGTTAAGGATAAAATGTTGGCCAATTTATCAGGAGAACTGACTGATTCTCAGGCTCAAATGGGATCCTGCATATCCACTGCAAAGGGGAATATGAGGCCTTGAAACCACGTTGATATATCAGCCTGTATTATCTGTTTGAGTCTCTGAAGAGGGGATGAACCCAGCTGGTTCAACTGTTATTTTTAGATTCATTTACGGGATGAGGGAATCACTCGTTTGGTCAGCATAGACCACACGTTGCCAATTATCCAGTGGGCAGTTGGGAATTAACCACATTTGTGTGGATCTGGAGTCACACGCAGCGTTCCAGCTGATTAACTTTCCCATGTGCGTGGATCTCCATCTGAAGAACCCTAACTCTATCACGCTGTGAATGGCATTAGGAGGCCCATCATCATGCATGGACTCACAGGGCAGCTGTACAAATTAGAGGGAATGTCGGTCAAGTGTAGGTCATTTCAGGTTAGAACTGCAGATTTCCTTCCCTAAGGAACATTAGTGATCCAAATTGGTACTTGATGGTTATCAGGTAAACATCAATCTAACTTTTAAATTCCAGATTTTTTACTGAATTCAAATTTCACCATCTGCCACCGATATGAACCCATGTCTGGAGAACTTTAACTAGCAGTACTGGACTACTAGCTCAGTGACATTACCACTAACCTTCCACCACCACTTTCACTCCTGTGGAATGATATATCACCGTGACAAATACATGTGGGGAAAGATGGGTGATGTTCCTGACTTCAGACCTCAATTCCTAGTTCATTGACTTGCTGGAGGGGAGGGATGTGAGGCTGTGAGGGCAGATCAGTGGGGGTAAAGAGTAATGCACAATGATATAAGTATAGGCTTCCCTTACCTCAGAGGTCTCTAAGCAGGCACAAGTCTTGCAGATTATTACATTTTTGAGATGTTTGTCAGCTGCTATTGAGAGTTCCATGAGCCACCAGAAAGTCCCAGTGAACTGATGGGCAGCTGAATCCTGATTTCTCCAACTGTGTTTCACTTTTCTGACCCAATCACCTAGAATGGACCCTAGCAGGAGATGATTGATGCCTGAGATGTTACAAAATCAATGACTCTATCCGCTGGGGTTTGGCATTAACACACAACATTCACCTCCTTACAGGGAATGCTCTAAAGAAAGAATTTTCAGAGCCTTTTCAGCACAAGACATTTGGCACTCGATACTCTACATGCCTGTTGCAGCAGTGTACACAAGACTTTAGCAAGATAGGCTGTTTAGCAAGACAGCATCTCAAATTTCCAAGGGGGTTTTGCCAGAAAAATTGAGGGAAATCCCTGGAGAACTTCCACCAAAGTAGTGGCGATAGATCTGGTAGATCCTGTGTACATTCCGGGAAGGTCCTTCAACAATCTGTATTCTGCAATGCAGTTACAACATAAAAGCTAAGTTACTGAAGCTGTGATTGTGGGGCTTACTGCATCATTTCACCATAGCTCAAATTTTAGCAAGGCTCTGTCTGTATTGTGGTAATGTTTTTATCCACTTGTGGAACATTCGCATCACTGGCTAGGCCAGCATTTTATATTGTCTGTTTCTAATTACCCTTGAGAAGGTGGTGGTGAGCTGCCTTCTTAAACTACTACAGTCCATGTGCCGTGGGTTGACTTACAATGTCCTTAGCGAGGGAATTCTAGGATTTCGACCCAGCAACAGTGAAGGAATGGCCAATATATTTACAGGTCAGGATGGTGAGTTGCTTGGATGGGAACTTGCAGGTGGTGGTGTCCCATGTGTCTGCTATCCTTGTCCTTCTAGATGGAAGTAGTCATGGGTTTAAGAGGTGCATCTAAGGATCTTTGGTGAATTTCAGGCTATGAGGAATACCCAACACTTGTCCTGGTACCGTGTTGGGCTATGCTGGAGGCTGTAGTGTCAATGTGTAAACAGTATAAACAAAGAGATATTGATTAATTGGGCCAATGGCCTGAGGAGTGGCAGATGGAGTTTAATTTGGATAAATGTGAGATAATGCATTTTGGTGAAACAAATAAGAGCAGGACTTATACAGTTAATGGTAGGGCCTTGGGCAGTGTTGTCTAACAGAGAGACCTAGGGGTTCAGGTACATGGTTCTTTGAAATTTGCATCACAGGTATATAGGGTAGTGAAGAAAGCATTTAACATGCTTGCCTGCATTGCTCAGACCATTGAGTATAGGAGTTGGGGCGACATGTTGAGGTCCTTAGGACGTTGTGAGGCCACTTTTGGAGTACTGTGCACAGTTCTAGTCACCCTGTTATTGGAAGGATACTATTAAATTAGAGACAGTTCAGAAAAGATTTACCAGGATGTTACTAGAACTGGAGGGTTTTAGTTATAAGAATAGGCTGGGACTTTTTTCACTGAAGTATAAGTTGTTGAGGGGTGACCTCATAGAGGTTTATAAAATCATGAGGGGCATAGATAAAGTGAATCACAAAGGTCTTTTCACGAGGGTGGAGGAGTTCAAAACTCGGGAGCATATTTTAAAGGTGAGAGGAGAAAGATTTAAAAGGGATCTGAGGGGCAACATTTTCACACAGAGGGTGGTTTGTATGTGGAATGAATTGTCACAGTAAGTGGTGGATGCAGGTACAGTTACAACATTTAAAAGACCTTTAGACAGGTACATGAATAGGAAAGGTTTAGAGGTATATGGGCCAAATGGGTCTAGTTTAGTTTGGGAAACTTGGTTGGTAATAGCCTAGTTGGACGAAAGTGTCTGTTTCTGTGACAGTAGGAACTGCCGATGCTGGAGAATCTGAGATAACAAGGTGTGGAGCTGGAGGAACACAGCAGGCCAAGCAGCATCAGAGGAGCAGGAAAGCTGACATTTCAGGTCTGGACCCCAGTGTCTACAGTCTGAGCTCCTAAATGTCAGTGCATAAAATTTATAATTGGCATGAGACTTTAACTCTGTGTGTTTCAATTCTAACCAGTCTTGATAGATTCTCAATAGTTAGAGTGCACAGACTAGCTCAAAACAGTGAAGACAGTGGAGAGGTTTATCTGGCAATTATTTTTGAACTTTATGACCACAATGATTATATCTTGTTCTGTGCTTTCAACACAGCCTCATGATATGGTACAAAATATCCAAGGCATTCCTAAAATTCCAGGCTGTGCCTTAAACCATAGACAAGCTCAAGGCTGACAAACAGCATATGCTGAATCTGATGAGTTGCGAAAGCACAACCAGTGTGTATTTAACAAATGTGGAATTGGCAACAGCTACAGTCTCCAACATGGCAGGAAGGTGATCCTTAAGCCTGTTCTTTTGGGTGTACGAGCACTCTTGCTTTCACAACACATTAGACAACCCCCATTAACTGCTATTTATGTTTAGACTCCACTTTAAGAAAACAGAGTTAAATACCAAACAGAGATAGTAGGAACAACCGATGCTGGAGAATCTAAGATAACACAGTGTAGAGCTGGATGAACACAGCAGGCCAAGCAGCATCAGAGGAGCAGGAAGGCTGACGTTTCAGGTCGAGACCCTTCTTCAGAAATGGGGGAGGGGAAGGGGATTCCGAAATAAATAGGGAGGGAGGGAGAGGCGGATAGAAGACGGATAAAGGAGAAGATAGGTGGAGAGGAGACAGACAGGTCAAAGAGGCAGGGATGGAGCCAGTAAAGGTGAGTGTAGGTGGGGAGTTAGGGAGGGGTTAGGTCGGTCCAGGGAGGACAGACAGGTCAAGGAGGCGGGATGAGGTTAGTAGGTAGGAGATGGGGGTGGGGCTTGAGGTGGGAGGAATGATTTCGGAGGCCGGGATGAGCTGGGCTGGTTTTGGGATGCGGTCGGGGGAGGGGAGATTTTGAAGCTTGTGAAGTCCACATTGATACCATTGGGCTGCAGGGTTCCCAAGCGGAATATGAAATGCTGTTCCTGCAGCTTTCGGGTGGCATCGTTGTGGCAATGCAGGAGGCCCAGGATGGACATGTCGTCCAAGGAATGGGAGGGGGAGTTGAAATGGTTTGCGACTGGGAGGTGTAGTTGTTTGTTGCGAACTGAGTGTAGGTGTTCTGCAAAGCGGTCCCCAAGCCTCCGCCTGGTTTCCCTGATGTAGAGGAGGCCACAACGGGAACAGCGGATACAGTATACCACATTAGCAGATGTGCAGGTGAACATCTATTTGATGTGGAATGTCTTCTTAGGGCCTGGGAAGGGGGTGAGGGGGGAGGTGTAGGGGCAGGTGTAGGTGCAGGGAAAAGTGACGGGGGTGGTGGGGCAGGAGGGGAGTGTGGAGTGCACAAGGGAGTCACGGAGAGAGTGGTCCCTCCGGAAAGCAGATAAGGGTGGGGAGGGAAAAATGCCTTTGGTAGTGGGGTCAGATTGCAGATGGCGGAAATGTCGGAGGATGATGCGTTGGATTCAGAGGTTGGTGGGGTGGTACGTGAGGACGAGGGGGATTCTGTTTCGGTTGTTATTGTGGGTAGGGGGTGTGAGGGATGAGTTGCGGGAAATGCGGGAGACACGGTCGAGGGCATTTTCGACCACTGTGGAGGGGAAGTTGCGGTCCTTGAAGAACAAGGACATCTGAGATGTACGGGAGTCCCTCCCTATTTATTTCAGAATCCCCTTCCCCTCCCCCATTTCTGAAGAAGGGTCTCGACCTGAAACGTCAGCCTTCCTGCTCCTCTGATGCTGCTTGGCCTGCTGTGTTCATCCAGCTCTGCACCGTGTTATCTCTAAATACCAAACAGCCTTGATAGCTATTGACAGAACTTGTGTACACAATGGTGGAGTATTTCTCTCTGGGGATCCAAGTTCCTTTTTCAAAGGATTGTGCCGTGAGGTCTATCTTCCCTCGAGTACAGAAGTTTTGCCACTACATGTTTTTCCATATGATTTTTAGCTGAGTCAGTTTGCCCGGATTATGGATAGAAGCTGTGGCCGCTAGCATTTCATTTGTGATTGACCTGGAGACATGGGGGCTGAAAACGACTCAGTCCCAGATAACAGCTGAGGCTAGCAAATTGTTGTATTGATGCCACAGCCAATTAAAGACACATCATGACCAAAGATAAATTCCATTCAGGTTTACTTCAGGTTTAAGCTAACAAATAGACTTTCAGTCAGCCTGGGGGAGGATTGGAGATGGAATCAAACATTCGTTTGTTATGATTCCTTTCAAGATCAATAGAGTATTTAACAAAAAGAAATCAAACTTCCAGTTAATAGATGAAAGATGACAAGATTTCATTTTTTTTACTTGTTTACTGTTTAAAAGCACTATTGACTAAACACTATCTTTGTAAGCAAAGTAAAATTTAAACCAGAAACAGAAGACCCCAGATTTTATTTAACAAAATAACTTCACAACTATACATTACACTGTTCTTTATGTTGATATTCAATTCTTCCAAAATAAGTTCAAAGAGATTCTTAACTCCAAGGGTTTACACTTCTGACCTTTTCCTTTCCCAGTATAGAATCTTAAAATTCCAGAAATCCATTTCATGGTCAGAATTTTCCGAAAGAAGTCTCCCCTGAGGTAAAGCTTGGCAAATCTTCCAACCGGTCTCAATGCTCATAAATTTGTTTGTTCCAATCTGAAGGCAAGCTCTCACCTGCATTCCTGTGCAGAGATTCAGGGACTCTGAGTCTTTAGCTGCCCTCTTCCTCTCCTGGACCCTGGCAGACTAAGTGAGCCGGAGTGTTTTTAGGGATAGTTTAGATATTCTTCCTCCCTCAAAGCTCTTTTCCATAACTACATGAGTCACTTGGGCACGTTTGCAGTTAGAAATGTTGATCAACTATCTCAGAAAACCCAAGTTTTCTCATCTGGTAACTAAATGGACAGTTTAAAACATAATGTATACGAACTGACAAAATCAATCAACCAACCAACCAACACTTTCTGGGACATTGGAGATTAACGGTCCATCCGCTGTTAGAATTCCGGCTATTGCCCTTGTTCAAGTGATATCATCTTGCAACCTCTTCCCAGAAAAACAGTCTGGGTCCCCTTTAATTTCTAACAATCAAATCAGACTGATGTGCTTCGGAACAAGGTCATCTGACTTGGTTATAATTTAAATTAAATGCAGTCCTAAAACATAATATCAAAATTCACGATGTGGAGGTGCCGGTGTTGGACTGGGGTGGACAAGGTCAGAAATCACACAACACCAGACTATAGTCCAACAGGTTTATTTGAAAACACAAGCTCATGTTTTCAAATAAATCTGTTGGACTATAGCCTGGTGTCATGTGATTTCTGACCTTGTCAAAACTCACAATTGTAACCTTTTCCAAACAATGAAGAAAATAACAAATTGTGATCACCATCCCATTAGAAAAGCCTTCATCCTTACTGAATCTGCCTCTTGGGGATGGGCATAAAAGATGATTACGTCAGCCCCGTTACATGACATGAACAAAATTTTTTTTATTTCCACATAAATTCACAGACTTATAGAAAAGAGAATTTGAAGAGTTAAGCTGTGAAAGCTGTTTTAATGCATCATGTTCTCTGGGCATTTTCTTTCCAGTTTCATCAGGAAAAGATCTGTGAGTAATTACATACAAAGGTATTTTGCATTCTTTGGTTATGTAGATATTCGCTGCCTGTGAAAGATATTCTTTTGGCAACAAAGAGACCTTGGAGTGCAGTTCATGGTTCCTTGAAAGTGGAGTCACAGATAGACAGGATAGTGAAGGCAGCGTCTGGTATGTTTCCCTTCATTGGTCAGTGCATTGAGTAAAGGAGTTGGGATATCCTGTTATTGTTGAACAGGACTTTGGTTGGGCCACTTTGGGAATACTGCATTCAATTTTAGTCTCCTTGCAATGGGAAGGATGTTGTGAAACTAGAAAAGATTTACAAGGATGTTGCAACATTTACAACATTTAAAAGGCATCTGGATGGGTACATTAATAGGAAGGGTTAAGAGGGATACAGGCCAAATGCTGGCAAATGAGACTAGATTAATTTAGGATATTTGGTCGGCGTGGATGAGTTGGACTGACAGGTCTATTTCTGTACTGTACATCTCTATGACTCTATGACTTTATAACCAGCAGAAATTATGCTGTTTGAACAAGGGCAGCCAAGATACTTACATTGCAGCATGTTTGTTCAGCCCTGGTATAACTCCATCGAGTATAACTGAGCCTTCATCCAGAAGAAAGGAGAGCTTTACTCCTCTGGACTGCAGGACTTTTGCTATGTTTTTAGCTCCATTGTTTCCCCCAACCTATAGGTAAGAAAGAAAGGTTTGCCTTTCAATAAATCCTTTCACAATCTTGTCACTATTGCCAAAGCCCTTTATTGTCAGTTGGAAATGTAGCAAATGCGACAATTTGCCACAGCAAGGTCCCATAAACAGCAATGTGGCAATGATTGAATAGTTGGAATTTTGTTTTAAGGATGTTGGTTAAGGGATAATTATTGACTGATAGGACTGTAACCTCCCTTGCACTTCCAATAATGGCATAAAATCTTTTATACTCACGAGACAACCCAGTTTAACAGCTCATCTGGACCACAGCATTTCTGACAGTGCCACACTCAGTGCTGCATTGTTATTGGACTCCTTGCTCAGTTTGAGGCCTTGAATTTACAATCATTTTATTAATTCATAGCTTGCGGCCACCATTGACTAAGCCAGCACATATTGCCCATCCCCAATTGCTCAAGGGGCTGTTAAGAGTATTGTGGGTCTAGAGTCATAGAGTCTCTACAATGTGGAAGCAGACCATTTGGCCCATCGAGTCTGCACTGGCCCTCCGAAGAGCCCACTCAGACCCACCCTGCTACCCTAACGCCATAACCTTCCATTCCCCATGGCTAATACCCCCCAGCCTACACATTCCTCAATACTATGGACAAATTCCCATGGCCTATCCAGCTAATCTGCACATCCTTGGTCTGAGGGAGGAAATCAGAGCACCTGCAGGAAACCCACGCAGACACGGCAAGAACGTACAAACACCTTACAGATAGTTGCCCGAGTCTGGAATTGAACCTGGGTCCCTGGCGCTGTGAGGAAGCAGTGAGGGGTGGGAAGCTCTTTGGAGGGTCAGTTCAGACCCACTGGGCCGAATGGCCTCTATTTGCACTGTATGGATTCTATGATCACATACAAATTGGAAGCACTTACTCGGATACACCTTACCTTAAACCATAACACGCAGGAGCATAAGTTTGTGATTCAGCCCATTGACTCTGCTCCATCATTCAATGAGATTGTGGCTAATCTGATAATCCTCAGCTCTACTTTACTGCTTTTTCCCTATAACCTTCTCAAACAGTTTCCCGAAACTTGCTGTGTTTGTCCACTTTGCAGTGATATTAACATTAGTGACAATATGTATGTTTCTTAGTTAATTGTTAATGCTGAGTTTCATCAAACACTAATAAACCTGTACTTATTGGGAGACTCACATCTAAACATCACATCAGTTACAGTGGGACAGCATTATGAAATTCAGACACATGCAGATAGGAATTGATAAGATCCCAGCAAACCACATTGTTCACGTAGAAGTGATCTACGATGCAAGAGGAGAAGTTCTAAACTACCTTCTGCGCTTGTAATAATGAGTTCTAATATATCCAAATTCATGTGCAAATTGATTTTGAGACTGCCTGCCTCATCTATTAAGAAAGTCCATTGCTTTGAAACTCTGGAGTAAACTGATCTCTTCTGTTCTTGGATTATTTACATATTGAAAAGTTGTCACTTCCACTGCTCCTGATTCACTTGTTTTTGTTTAAATATTCACTCATGGAATGTGGGTGTTGCTGGCTGGGCCAGCATTTATTGCCCATCCCTACTTGCCCTTGACAAGTTCATGGTGAACTGCCTTCTTGAACCCCTGCACTCCATTTGCTGTAGGGGTATCCATGATGCCCGTAGGGAGGTGGTTATAGAACATAGAACAGTACAGCACAGTACAGGCCCCTCGGGCCACGATGTTGTGCCGAACTTTTACCCTAAACCTAAGGTCTATTTAACCTCCACCGCTACCTTATACTATCATCCATATGCTTATCTAATAGCCGCTTAAATGCCCCTAATGAGGCCGACTCCACTACCCTCTCCGGCAATGCATTCCACGGCCCTACCACTCTCTAAGTAAAGAACCTACCTCTGACGTCTCCCCGATATCTACCTTCTTTCACTTTAAAACTATGTCCCCTCGTAAAAGCTACCTCCACCCTAGGAAAAAGTCTCTGGCTGTCTACTCTATCTATACCTCTGATCATTTTGTACACCTCTATCAAGTCACTTCTCATCCTTTGTCGTTCTAAAGAGAAAAGCCCTAGCTCTCTCAACCTTTCCTCGTAAGGCCTTCCCTCCATTCCAGGCAACATACTGGTAAATCTCCTCTGCACCTTTTCCAACGCTTCCACATCTTTCCTGTAATGGGGTGACCAGAACTGGACACATTACTCCAGATGTGGCCGAACCAGGCTTTTGTATAGCTGGAGCATAACTTCACAGCTCTTGAACTCAATCCCTCTATTAATGAAAGCTGGTTCTAGAATATTGAAAAGGTGACAGTGAGGAAACAGTAATGTATTTCCAAGTCAGGGTGTTGAGCGGCTTGGAGGAGGCCTTGCAGGGAGTGCTGCTCCCATGGCCGCAGTCATGGGTTAGAAAGTGCTGTCCAAGGAGATTTGTTGAATGTCTGCCACACCTCCAATAGATAATGCACACTGCTGCTACTGAGCGGAGGTAGTGGAGGGACTGGATGTTTGTGGATGTGGTGTCAATTAAGCAGGCTGCTTTGTCCTGGACGGTGTCAAGCTTCTTCAGTGCTGTTGGACCTGCACTCATCCAGGCAAGTGGGGAGTATTCCATTATACACCTGCTTTGTGCCTTGTAGATGATGTACAGGCTTTGGGGAGCCAGGTGGTCTGTTAATCACTGCAGGATTCATAGCATCTGACCTGTTCTTGTAGCCATAGCATTTGTATGTCTAGTCCAGGTCAATTTCTGGTCAATGGTAGCCTCCAGGTTGTGATATTTGGGGATTCAACAATTGTAATGCCATTGAATATCGAGGAATGATGGTTAGATTGAAGATACACACTTTATTTGAAATTATTAAGGCTTCAGGCTTATATTAAGTGATGAGTACAGCACTGCCCTTCACACTTCACAACTTGGGGGGAAAAGAAAAGGGAAATCTGAGAAATGTCTTCTCAAAGCCCATTAACACCAATCTTAAAGGAGAGAAGATGTTGTATCATTACATAGTTCCTTATAATATCCTTTAAACATCTCACAGCACTTGTTTCAAGCCTGACTTCAAGATACCTACAAAACCTTCAAGATATTCTGACCTCTTGTGCATTCCCAATCACAATTGCTTCAAGAGGAGGGAGTCGAGTTGTCAAGACTCTGGGTTTGTGAATTACTTCCATTCACCTACCTATCTACCTTAAAGCCTGTGTTTTTAGTCAGCTGACCCAGTACCCCCTTATGTGGCTCCATGGCATACTTTAGTTTTATGTTTGTGAGAACCACCTTGGTACAAGTCATGTTGTGTTCTATTTGTGTTGAAGAGTTCTTACCAAAATTTTATTGGTAAACAGGGAAATCAATTTGTAGGCAGAAGTGCCCAACAACCAAGCTTTCACTTTCTAGTTCTACACCTTCCTTTTCAAAAAGTCCATTTAAATTTCAAATTCCACCAAACAGGGCCTCAATCTAACCCAAAACATAATTCTGACACTACAACTCTTTTTCCATGCTGTACTGAAGCAACAGCCTAAATTATATGGTCAATTCTGTAGCAACACGGGAACCCACAACTGCCTGATTTAGAAATGAGTTTGTCACTACAGAGCCAAGTCAACACACAACTATTTTAATGCTCTTCTGAGTGTTTTCACTGCCTTGAGATCTTTTAATGTCATCCACCCATTTTCTCCTCATTCTGTGTGCTTTTACAAATACTTCCTAATTAGTTAGTTAACTTCCTCTCCAACAGTATTCCTGACGCTTGGCATTTTTACTGCTCTCAGTCTTTCCCCTTTTATAAAAATAAATTAGATGAAGAGACAGAGAATACTGATATAGGTTTGTTGATGATACAAAGCTGGGTGTGAATGCAAGCTGAGAGAAAGACACAGATGCTACAAAGAGATATCGACAAGCTAAATGAATGTGCACCAAAGTGGTAAATGGAGTATGATATACAGAATGGTAAGGTTATTCTGTTTGGCTTCAAGAGCAGAAAATTGTATTTTTTTTGAAGAAAGGTGTGAAACTCGTAAATGCTGATGCTCAGGAGGACTTGAACAATCTTGCACAAGGAAGTTAGTTTGCAAGTGCAGCAAGCAGTTGGACGTATGGTATGTTGGCCTTTAATGCAAGGAAGTATAAAACTAAAGAGATAGTAAGAACTGCCAATGTTGGAGTCAGAGATAACACAGTGGAGCTGGAGGACCACAGCAGGCCAGGCAGTATCAGAGGAGCAGGAAAGTTGACGTTTCAGGTCGGGACCCTTCTTCAGAAGAAGACTCCTGACCCGAAATGTCAACTTTCCTCCTCCTCTGATGCTGCCTGGCCTGCTGTGTTTCTCCAGCTCCACACTGTGTTATCAGCATAAAACTAAAGCACTCTTGCAATTATATAGAGATTTGGTGAAATGCAGTTGCGGTCTTCATGTAAAGTGAAGGGAATACTTGCCTTGGAGATAATAGTGAAGCTCACTAGAGTCATGTCTTGAATGAGAGGTTATCCTATTGTTAAAGAGCTGGGTAAGCTGGATCTATGTTCTCTGGAGTTAAGAAGAATGAGAGGTAATTTCATTGAAAACATTCAAGACTATGAAGGGATGTGACAGCATAGATTCTGAGAAGGCACAGTTTCAAGATAACAAGGTGTGGAGCTAGAGGATCACAGCAGGCCAGGCAGCATCAGAGGAGCAGGAAAGTTGATGTTTCAGGTCAGGACCCTTCTTCTGAAGAAGGGTCCTGACCCAAAATGTCAGCTTTTCTGCTCCTCTGATGCTGCCTGGCCTGCTGCGTTCCTCCAGCTCCACACCTTGTTATCTCAGACTCCAGCATCGTCAGTTCCTACTATCTCACAGTTTCAAGTTAAGTGGCTGATCATTTGGGATTGATACGGGGAGATTTTTTTTCATTCAAAAGGATTGTGAAATTTAGAATTCTCTACCCAGGAAGGCTGTACATCCATCATTGAATAAATGTGAGGCTGTGACAGACACAATTTAGGTCTCTCAGGGAACTAAATGGTATGAGGAGTGTGTAAGAAAATGAAGTCAAAATCAAATATCATCTAATGAATGGCAGAGCAGGCTTGTGGGCCTGAAATTCCTTTCCTGCTTCTATTTCTTTTGTTCGTTAACCTTCCTGCTCCTCTGACACTGTCTGACCTGTTGTGTTCCTCCAGCTCCACACTATGTTGTCTCTGACTCTGGCATCTGCAGGTCTTGCTATGTCCAAAGCATTTGTTCCAGCTACAGAAGCAAGGCCCCGTACCCCAACATCCCAGGTTCAGCACTTGACCTGGAGTTACCTCTTCATCATGTCCAATTCCAATGTAGAACGATCGACAGGGTATGTAGCCTCGTTTCAGTAAAAATTCCAGACCTTGGAGGATTCCCTAGGGAAAATAGAATACTTAAATACATAAGCACCAGCACTGGAATTTTTCTCTAAACAGATTCTCGATATGCTTTGTGAAGATTAAGAGTTAAACCTTGGGAAAGATCTTATGATTAGGGATACACAGGGTCCACGATTGTCTGCATTATATCAGAAAATTCTACCACACAAAAACAGGAAGCATCATACTTAATGTGATGCCCTTTATTGCAACTGAAGTGCCCTCCTCACCAGGGTGCAAACTTGGGCAGTATTTATGGAATAATCTTTGTCTGCTCAAAAATCACGTTATCCTTCTCAAATCCTCTGGCTGAGTCCAATAGAATACAAATCATTAGGTTTGTAACTGGCTTCATTGCAAGAATCACAGGTCATGCTCTCTCAAAGGCTTCATGGGTGACACCTTCCAAACCTGTGACATCTACCAAGGTTACCTCTAACAAGGGAACACCACCATACACAAGTTCCTCTCCAAGCAACTCACCAGTCTGACTTGGAAATATATTGCCATTCCTTCACTACAACTGGGTCAAATCATGGGATGCTTTCCCTGACTGTGGATCTACCTATACCCCAAGGATTGCAGCAGTTCAAGAAGACAGCTCACTTCCACCTTTTCAAGGGCAATTAGGAACAGACAATAAATGCTGGTCAAGCCAGCGATGCTCACATCCCATGAATAAGTAAGAGAAACTCGTCAGGGAAAAATCTCAAAAAACACAAATTTTGTAAAACCTGACAATTCATAGTCTCACACAATATAGATTAGATGATCTGTCTGACACAATCCATAAGCTCCTATACAGAGGCATTATTATAGTAAAATAAAACAGCTCAGAAAGAAGCCATTCTGCCCATCATGTCCCTGAAAAACATTTCCCCTATCACTCTACCACTGCCAATATCTCGATTAAAATCGATTCCTAAAAACTTTTCTGCTCCAAGGGCAACAAACCCAGTTACTATAGTACCTCCTGACTTGCCCTCACTCTGTGGCGCTGTATCCAACAGTGCACCATGTTAGCTGCCTTTCCTGTTTATTCTCCTGAATTCCACGTCCCATTCATACTGCACTTTACAAACTAATAGCTGACATGTGTGGCAAGCAAACTGCTAGACAACACCACGTTGAGTCATAGATCACCCGTGGAAGAAACTAATATCAGACCAAAGAATAGCCCGAACCTGACATTACAAAGAGTTATATAAACCCGACTTTTAGAATCAGCCTGTCTCTGTAAAAAGAGCTCCTCATTCCTTCCCCATGTATAAGTTGAAGATTTATTAAATATTTCAATTACACAAACATTTACTAGATTTTGTTTTATTCTACATGTAAATTAAACAGTTACACCTAGGTTTTCTCTTCTTACTCCCATGATTAAATTAACAATTTGCTTATTTTGTTTGCTGGATAATTCATTTGAAAACATGTCGAATGAAACGGTAGATACAGGTACAATTACAACATTTAACAGACATTTGGACAGGTACATGGATAAGAAAGGATTAGAGGGATATGGATCAAATGCAGGCAAATAGACTTTAGGAAACCTAGTTGACGTGAATGGGTTAGGCCAAAGGGCCTGTTTTTGTGCCTAATGATTCTAAAACAATTCCAGAGTTCAGCAGATATGATTCCCCTTTCTTATCTCATTCCAGGCCTGAAGTTAAAGCCAACACATTGCCTGACTAATTGGTGAAAGTGCAGAGTTAAACAGCTTTATTTCATTAGTGTCAATATGACCACAATAAAAGCCAACTGCATGTATATGAAGTGATGTTGTCGGAAAGTTGTGTCTAAGAAAGGAAACACATTGAGCTGGGCAGACCTTACAGCTGTATTTTTCCTTCCCCAGCCCAAAGAATGACGAAGGATTCCAGAGTAGAAAACTACAGAGTAAAATGACCGATTTGGCATGTGAAATAATACATTTTCCAGAGGTGGATCAGGCAGTGGGTTTTAAACAGTTTGCCGGAAATTGAGTTTAAGATTAAACTTCAGCAACTTGTACCATAAGAGACGACTTGTCGTCCATAGACCCACGTCCGTATAGATAGCCATCCTTCTCCTCCGCAGAAAACGGTGGAACATCCCACTCTTCTTCCAATGCAGGGACCACATCCAGGTGGGCAATCAGCATGAATGGCTGGAGGCTGTCGTTTGATCCACGGACAGTAAACAAGTGACTGTACTTAGCGATAATCTCATGTTGTACAAGGTTCGATGAGAACACAGTGGGAAATACTGCGAAGAAACAAGAAATGGATAATGTAATCAGGTAATGAGCAGATGCGGCTTTTGAATTTTTCTTTAAAATCCTGGTTTTTGCAAGCGTCTTTGTGAAACGAATACATCCCTTTGTCCCTGCAGAAGATCCCTTGTAAGCCTGCTGCAGAATTTGAAAATGCTTGCGGTAAGGGAAGGCAGGAGAATGGGGTTGAGAAATAGATTGAACGCCAGAGCAGAGGGTCACTGGGCCTGCAACGTTAACTCTGATTTTTTCTTCACAGATGCTGCCAGACCTGCTGAGCCTTTCCAGCAACTTCTGTTTTTGTGCCAGGGCAAACTCAATAGGCTGAATGGCCTAATTCTTCTCTCTCTCTCTCTCAGTCTCTTAAGTGACGAGAATCATTTCTTTGCTAGTTCCTTATGACTTGAATTGATAATGTTCATCAGTAGTTATTTGTAGAACCTAAATGTTGTGTATTTACTAATTTGCAATATATTTCATATTGCTGTCTTACCGCAGAACAATTCAGATATGACACCTATACTAATGAAGGCTCTTAACATTTTTTTGCTTTTCACAGATGCTGCCAGGCCTTCTGAGTTTCTCCTGTGCTTTTTTAAAAATGTTATAAATACGCTAGTTTTTATTGAAGCACAGTGGCAGTGTCACTACCTCTGAGCCAGAAGCCCTGGGTTCAAGTCCCACCCAATCCAAAGGCATCCTTGTGTAACATGCCTGAGCAGGTTGATTAAAAGTATCGACATCAGATTTATTTACACTGCTTAAAAATATCAGCCATCACAAGATCTCTACACAACATGTTCCCAGATTACAGTTCTTAAGTATTTCTGGAAGCTTCTGTTTCCTCCAGCTCTCAGAGCTACACCCATGTTTAAATCAAATAGCATAGTGGAAATAGATCAGCCAACCGACTAACACAAAGGAATTTAAAAATCGAACATTGCATGAAACAGGCTTAAACAGACTTCATGTAGTGTGCTTCCAGCCAGATGCTTATTGTGTCTTGAAAAATATCTTGGTGACGTCTTGTGTATAACATGAGTTCAATACCTGGAATATCGTGTACAATTCTGGTGTCCTTATCCAAGGAAGGATATCCTTGACTGTGAAGGAATGCAACAAGGGTTCACCAGTTTAATCCCTGCGATTGTTTTATGACAGATTGAGGAAACCGGATATGTGTTCTCTGGAATTTCAAAGAATGAGAGATGGTCTCATTGAAACTTAACGAGATTCTTACAGCATATGACAATGTGGACTTAGATAGGATATTTCATGTGGCTGGTGAGTCTGACAGCAAGGAGTATGGTCTCTGAATAAGGGTCGGGCCATTTAACACGAAGACTAGGAAGGATTTCTTCACTCTTGGAATTCACTCCCCCAGCGGGTGTGGAAGCTCAATTACTGAGCATGTTTGAGACAGAAATTGGTAGATTTCCGGACCCTAGGAATAGCATTTTAGGTGGGTTTTTTTTAAAAGATCAGTCACGGGATGAGGGCTTCACCGGCAAGACTAGCATTTATTGCCCACCCCAGAGGGCAGTTAAGAGTCAACCACATTGCTGTGGGTTTGGAGTCACATGTAGGCCAGACCAGGTAAGGATGGCAGTTTCCTTCCCTGAAGGACATTAATGAACCAGATGGGATTTTCCCCAACATCGGTAATGAATTCATGGTCATCATTAAACTCTTAGTTCCAAATTTTTTAAAAATTGAACCCAAATTCCACCATGGCAGGATTTGAACTCAGGTCCTCAGGACGTTAGAGATAACAAGGTGTAGAGCTGGATGAACACAGCAGGCC